CTTCACTGTCTCCAGCCTTCTCATTGTTGCAACATTCACTACCCAAGTTTCACACATATATAAGTGTGATGGTATAACTGTACCCTCTGTGCTTCCATGGAAAAGTTCTTGGTCTCCTCAGACTTTTCAGTGCATCACTCACCATTTTTCCCTCATCAATTCTATGATTCACCTCATCTTTCATAGACCCATCTGCTGACATGTTCACTCCTCGTATCTGAATACATTCACCTCCTCCATACTCTCTTCCTCCAATCTGATATCCAATCTTTTGTCACCTAATTTTTTTGTTATCCTCATCACCTTACTCTTTCCTATATTCACTTTTAATTTTCTTCTTTTACATACCCTACCAAACTTATCCACCAACCTTTGCAACTTCTCTTCAGAATTTCCCTAAAGCACAATGTCATCAGCAAAGAGCAACTGTGACAACTCCCGCTTTGTGTTAAATTCTTTATCTTTTAACCCCACACCTCTTGCCATCACAAAAACATTCACTTCTTTTACAACTCCATCTATAAATACAGGGTGTCCACAAAAACACTCCCTAATTTCAAACAGGTATAGCATGTAACTTTAGTGTAATAATTTTTCACAGTTAGTAGCTTCAGATGCAAGATTTCATTCAGTTTCATGTGGTATAGAGTAGCATTAAAGGCACTCAATGTGCGTTCCTCTGGTTGCTCGGCAAACATCGATGTGATAGTCCAGTTTGGTCCAGATGCTCTGCAGCACATCTGGAGTTATCGTGCGAACTGCTTCAGTGATCGAAATTTTCAGCTCCTCCAAGGTTGCAGGTAGTGGTGGTACATAAACTGCTCTTCACGTACCCCCAAAGAAAGAAGTCACAAACAGTTAGGTCCGGTGACCTCTGCAAGTGGCCCTTGTGATTTCTCTCATTATCAAGGTCCTTGATAATGTGAGAAATCACAAAAGTGCTTAGAATTCTACTATTTTTTTCAGTGGTTGTTCTGCATATTTACTGTGATCTTATTTGCATATGTATAAATGTATGTGTACATGTGCATATACATACTCGTAAGTCATCTAATTGTGGTTGTAGGGGTTGAGTTTCAGCTCCTGGCCCCACCTCTTTGCTGGCTCATACAAGGAAAGCATTACCTGTTGTTAAAGCTATGTGTGAATTATGCCTCTTCCATTTTGCTGTCTAGATAGTTTCACTTCCTGACCACTCTAAGGCTAAAGAAGTATTTCCTAACATCCCTATGACTCATTTGTGCTTTTAACTGTCTGTGTGATCTTGCATACCTGAGTCCTACCTCTCAGACTCACCCTGTCAGTTCCTCTCATTATTATGCACTCCAAATCATGTCATCTCTGATCCTTCTGTCCTTGAGTGTCATTAGGTTAAGCTCCTCAAGCCTCTCCTTATAGATCATTCCACTCAGTTACGGGACAAGTTTTGTTGCAAATCTTTGCATTTCCAGCTTCTTTACATGCTTTGCCAGATGTGGGTGCTACATACTCCAAGATAGACCTGATATATGCCATGTAAAAGCTAGTAAATGCTTCCCTATTGATGTTCCTGAAAGCTTCCTGGAAATTTGCCAGTACTGCATGTCCTGCAGTGGTTACTAGGTTGATTTGTGCTTCAGGCAAAAATGCTCGAACTATGCTCACCCTGAGGTCCTTCTTTTTCATGGAGGTTAGAAGTCTTTGTCCTCCTCTGATTTTCACAATTTTGCATTTTTTTTTTTTTTCAACAAGTTGGCCGTCTCCCACCGAGGCAGGGTGACCCAAAAAAGAAAGAAAATCCCCAAAAAGAAAATACTTTCATCATCATTCAACACTTTCACCACACTCGCACATTATCACTGTTTTTGCAGAGGTGCTCAGAATACAACAGTTTAGAAGCATACACATATAAAGATACACAACATATCCCTCCAAACTGCCAATATCCCAAACCCCTCCTTTAAAGTGCAGGCATTGTACTTCCCATTTCCAGGACTCAAGTCTGACTATATGCAAATAACCGGTTTCCCTGAATCCCTTCACTAAATATTACCCTGCTCACACTCCAACAGATCGTCAGGTCCCAAGTACCATTCGTCTCCATTCACTCCTATCTAACACGCTCACGCACGCTTGCATTTGTTATGGTTAAATTAGAATAGCCACTTGTCAGACTAATCCTGCAGGTTGTCCAGATGAATTTGTAGTTTTTCCTGGTCTACTCCTGATTATATTCTCCTCATTAGTTTTTCATCGTCTACAACCAGGGACACCTCTGACTCGATTTACACACAAAAAACAGTACTGGATACTTGTGGAACCCCACTCATCACACTCGCCCATTCCCAAACCTCCTCCCTGGCAATAACTCATTGCTTTCTTCCCGTTAAGTATTCCTTGATTCACAGTAATGTTTTCCTTGTAATTCCTGCCTACTCCTTTGGCTTTTGTGCCAGTTTTTTGTGGGGTACTGCATCGAATACCTTCTTGCAATCCCAAAAATATACAGTCCACCCTTCACTCTCTCTCTCTCTCCCTCCCCTGTTTAACATAGAACTCTAGCAGATCTGTGAGACATTATCTACCATCTGGAAAACTGTACTGGTTATTGTTTATAAATTCACTCCTTACCAGGTGCTTCGCTACTGTTCTCCTGATAAACTTCTCCGTAAACTTACACACTTGTACTATGCATGTGAGTGACATAGGCCTTTAGTTCAATGCCCTCCATTTAACATTTCTTTCATGATCCCATCAGTTCCAGCTGCTTTACCCCCTTTCATTCTACCTAATGCCTCACATACCTCTCCTGCACTCATATCTGTGGGCACTTCTTCATTCTTAAAAGATGTTATACCTATCTGGCCAGTGCATGAAATTACTGCCTCCCTCTCTTCGTCAACATTTAACAGTTCCTCAAAATATTCCCGTCATCTTCCCAATACCTCCAACTTCCCATCTACTAACTCCCCTATTCTGTTTTTAACTGTCAAATCCATTCATTCCCTAGGCTTCCTTAACTTATTTATCTCATTCCAAAAGTTTTCTTATTCTCAGCAAAATTTGTTGACAGCACCTCACCCACTCTATCATTTGCTCTTTTTTTGCACTCTATCACCTCTCTTTTACTCTACATACTCCACCCTTCTTATATCACTTCTGCTTTGTAAAAACCTCTCATAAGTGACCTTTTTCTCTTTTATCACACCCTTTGCTTCATCATTCCACCATTCACTCCTCTTTCCTCCTGCACCCATCCTCTTATAACCACAAACTTCTGCCCCACATTCTAATACTTCCTTTTTAAAACTATCCCATCCCTCTTCAACCCCTACACTACCTATACTCTCACTAGCCCACCTTTCTCCCAATAGTTTCTTATATCTCACCCTAACTTCCTCCTCCCTTAGTTTATAACTTTCACCTCTCTTTTACTTGTTGTCATTTTCCTCTTGCCCCATCTACCTCTTACTCTAACTGTAGCTACAATTAAATGATGATCCAATATATCTGATGCCCCTCTATAAACATGGACATCCTGACATCTACCCATCAACCTTTTATCTACCAATACATAATCTAAGGAACTGCTTTCATTATGTGCTTTATCATATCTTGTATACTTATTTATCCTCTTTTTCTTAAAATATGTATTATTTATTACTCAACCTCTTGCTATACATAGTTCAATTAAAAGCCCACATTTTCATTTACCCCTTGCACCCCAAACTTATCTACTACTCCCTCCACAACAGTTATACCCACTTTAGCATTTAAGCCCCCCCCCCTCCCCAAATACTTTCTCATATGGGTATTGTTGAAAATCATTGCATTAACAAAACACTGTAAAGCTGGGCCCTCCTGTAATAACAATAATAAAAAATGTCCATATTTAAAGGCAGTGTTAATGCAGTATGGTGAGAATAGAGTAAACCCAATTTAATAAAGTAATAGAGGAGTGAGTGGCTGGAATTGGTGATTGTGGTGGATAGACGAGATTGTTTTACAGTGATCAGAACATTAACGAAACCACGGAACAGGTGGGGTCTTAACCCACGACAAGAGAGTCCTTAAACTCCAGGCCAGTGCGTAAGCCACTTGGCTACAATAAGATTCATCTAACTAGGTATATTTCCATACACCATAGGAAAGGTAGCATGGGCCTCACTGTGACTACAAATGCAAGTTTTATAGTTGAATCTCCCACCAGCATGGCCATGATGAATGTAACTTAAGCTGGCAGGAGATTCATCCGTAAAAACTTGCATTTGTGGTCACAGTGAGGCCCATGCTACCTTTCCTATGGTGTATAGAAATATACCTAGTTGGATGAATCTTATTGTAGCCGAGTGGCTTATGCACTGGCCTGGAGTTTAAGGACTCCCTTGCCGTGGGTTAAGACCCCACCTGTTCCGTGGTTTCATTAATGTTCTGATCACTGTAAAACAATCGCGTCTATCCACCACAATCACCAATTCCAGCCACTCACTCCTCTATTACTTTATTAAATTGGGTTTACTCTATTCTCACCATACTGCATTAACACTGCCTTTAAATATGGACATTTCTTATTATTGTTATTACAGGAGGGCCCAGCTTTAAGTGTTTTGCTAATGCAATGATTTTCAACAATACCCATATGAGAAAGTACTTGTGGGGGGGGGGGGGACTTAAATGCTTATAGTGTACAGATTAATCAAAACTAAGCAGTAAACCCACAAGGGTCATACAGCACTGTGCGGTGTATAGAAATATACCTAGTTTGATAAGTCTTACCGTAGCCAGCTGGCCAAGTGGCTTACACACTGGCCTGGAGCTTTAGGACTCACTTGCTGTGGGTTCAAACCTCACCTGTTTGTTAGCAGTTGTGTTATTACTATTTTGTGAGTCAAAACAATAATGGATAATTCTGTAACCAGCGGACATTGTCCATTGTTCCAAATCAAAAAACTCAGCAGATTTTGTTCTGTATTTCTGAAATCTTTTAGACTGGTTTACCATATTATCAGTTTATCTGCTAGAGCTCAGGTTGCAGCCAGCCATGCTCGTCTTGCTCTGCGCTGCACTGTGGAGGGATGGGATGCAGCTGCTGCAGTGCTGATGTGTGAAGAAGCTCTGGCGGCACACTCGGGCTACTCCCTGCTCCACGTCATTCCAACCCCACACCTACCACCACACTGTGACTTACACACGCTCTTAGGAAGAAAGGTAAGGCAAATATATTTAATTCTTGTGCAGTACTGAACACTTGCGTGTCATTTAGCATTAAATCAACACAAATACATAAATGAATGTGTGTAAAAGGTCTGTAACATGTTGAGTTGTTGGCCGTAAGTCAGCAAGTTTAGACAATAGGTGAAATATCACCACCATTTCTACCAGGGATAAATCCAAGAGGGCCCCGCTGGACAATACCTTGGAGTCCAGCTTGCGCTAGACTTTGAGCCAAGGCAGCCAGTTTTCAGGGAGAAGGCTTACAGCTTTTCATCTCATCCCCTGCATGCATCAGCCTTACTAGATATATTAACAATGCAAGGAATTCGCAAGAGCAGGCGAAATATACACAAACACTGACCTCTGGCTGAAGGAGACTCGAACCTACTAACCTTGGAACAAGGTACACAGTGCTGATGCATGCAGGGGATGAGATGAGAAGCTGTAAGCCTTCTCCCTGAAAGCTGGCTGCCTCGGTGGGATACGGCCGGTGTGGACCCTCGACCAACGCTATTAATCCGTTCCTGAGAGCTCATCGTTAGTTGAAATCATCGTTAGTCGAGTTAATTTTCCCCATAAGAAATAATGGAAATCAAATTAATCCGTTCTAACACCCCAAAGTATTGAAAAAAAAAATTTTACCACATGAAATATTAATTTTAATACACACAAACTGAAGAAGACATGTACAATTACATGACACTTACCTTTATTGAAGATCTGGTGATGATTGATGGGATGGGAGGAGGGGAGAGTGTGGATGGTGTTAGTGTTTAGAAGGGGAATCCCCTTCCATTAGGACTTGAGGTGGCAAGTCCTTTTCTGGGGTTACTTCCCTTCTTCTTTTAATGCCACTAGGACCAGCTTGAGAGTCACTGGACTTCTGTCGCACAACATATCTGTCCATATAGGCCTGTACCTCTCTTTCTTTTATGACTTGCCTAAAGTGGTTCACAACAGTGTCATTGTACAGGTTGCCAACACGGCTTGCAGTAGCTGTGTTAGGGTGATTTTCATCAAAAAAGGTTTGCACTTTAAGCCACATTGCACAGATTTCCTTAATCTTTGAAGTAGACAACTTCTTCAGTTTCTCTATCCCCTCCTCCTGAGCAGTTTCCTCAGGTCTGGCCTCTTGCTGTTGAAGATGATCTTGCAGCTCATCAGTGGTTAGTTCTTCATTGTCCTCCTCCACCAACTCTTCCACATCCTCCCCACTAACCTCCAACTCCAAGGACTTCCCCAATGCCACAATTGATTCCACAACTGGCATAGGCTTCTCAGGGTTAGCCTCAAATCCTTCAAAATCCCTTTTGTCTACACATTCTGGCCACAGTTTCTTCCAAGCAGAGTTCAAGGTCCTCTTAGTCACTTCCTCCCAAGCCTTACCTATAATATTTACACAATTGAGGATGCTAAAGTGATCTCTCCAAAACTCTCTTAGAGTCAATTGAGTTTCTGAGGTCACTACAAAGCACCTTTCAAACACAGCTTTTGTGTACAGTTTTTTGAAGTTTGCAATGACCTGCTGGTCCATGGGCTGCAGGAGAGGAGTGGTATTAGGAGGCAAAAACTTGACCTTGATGAAGCTCATGTCCCCAGAAAGTCGCTCTACCAAGTCTGAAGGATGATCAGGAGCATTGTCTAATACCAGGAGGCACTTAAGGTCCAATTTATTTTCCAGGAGGTAATTTTTCAGAGTGGGGGCAAATGCATGGTGTAACCAGTCATAGGAAAAGTCCCTAGCGACCCATGCCTTACTGTTTGCCCTCCACATCACACACAAATTAGCCTTGAGGACATTGTTTTTCCTGAACACTCTGGGAGTTTCAGAGTAGGTCCTGCTTGGCATTTTCTTCCAAAACAGGCCTGTTTCGTCACAATTAAACACTTGTTCAGGTTTCAGTCCTTCAGCTTCTATGTACTCCTTGAATTCCTGCACATATTTTTCAGCTGCTTTGTGGTCCGAACTGGCAGCCTCACCATGCCTTATCACACTATGTATGCCACTACGATTCTTAAATCTCTCAAACCAACCTTTGCTGGCCTTAAATTTACTCACATCACCACTAGTTGCAGGCATTTTTTTAATTAAATCGTCATGCAACTTCCTAGCCCTTTCACATATGATCGCTTGAGAGATGCTATCTCCTGCTATCTGTTTCTCGTTTATCCACACCAATAACAGTCTCTCAACATCTTCTATCACTTGCGATCTCAGTTTCGAAAACATAGTTGCACCTTTGGCAAGAACAGCTTCCTTGATTGCCGTTTTCTTGGCCACAATAGTAGTGATGGTTGATTGGGGTTTTGTGTACAACCTGGCCATGTCAGAGACACGCACTCCACTTTCATACTTAGCAATGATCTCTTTCTTCATATCCATAGTGATTCTCACCCTTTTTGCTATAGGGTTGGCACTAGAAGCTTTCTTGGGGCCCATGGTGATTTATTTTGCAGGTACAATCACTAAGAACGCTGTGATAATATGAAATGTTCCGATTGTATGTTTGGATGCGACCGCGGTGGCTGGCTTGTAAACACTGGCACCCACGGGACAGGTGAGGCGTGCTCAGGCCACATGTGGACGCGTCTCGAACGGAACAAATCGTGTTGGTCAAGTTTTTTAGCGCTAGTCGAGGCAAAATTTTTGCATTAAAATGTATCGCTAGTCGGAGTTAACATTATACGATGCCAGTGTCAGTTGAGGGTCCACTGTATATATACCTCCTGGGGACAAATCTAACACCACTATTGTGGTATGGTACTCAACTTTTGAGAGGTTGACCAATAAAGCGTAAAAGTTTATGATGGATGAAAGATAGCGTAGGGTACATTCCAGGAGAAGTGGGAAAGAGGATGAAGGGTGTTTTTGACAGGTAGAGACCTGAGCACCTAGCTGGCATGTGTGAGCACATTACCTCAGAGTGAGTTTCAACAAATGTTTGTAGGGCTGCTAAAGTGTAAGCAGGGTACCATTTTTGCATTTTAGTGATCATTTGTGATGTATGTGCATTTTTGGAAAGGAATGAGTTATGCCAAATCTGTTTCTCTTCTTTGGATCATCCTGGCTTAGCATGGAACATTTTATTTGTTAAAACAACTGCCCTGTATAAATAAGATGCAATTAATAATATACTTGATCTCATCAAACCTCTGTGCAGTACTATATAATATACAAATTGTAAATTTATTTTAGTATTAAAAATTACTATTACACTTTCAATTATTTAAGAAGAATAATGTCTTAGAATGCCAGGTAAATTACTATTTAAATAAATTCCATTATTTTATTTGACATTAACCTAATCATAATTAATTTTAAATCTATGATTCTAATTGATTTGAGACTAATTTGGGGAGATCATCACAAATTATTTAACCTACCTCAAGAAAATTACAGTAGAACCTCAGCTGTCAAATTTAATTCGTTCCCGACGTCAATTTGACAACCAAAATGGATGACAGCCAAAGCAATTTTCCCATAAAGAATAATGTAAATAGAATTAATCCATTCCAGACCCCAAATGATATAATAATTTATTAAATCTGTACTACTACATAAAACTGTAAAAATGAATACCAAAAGAAACTAACTGAAATACTGTACAGTAAATGAAATTTAACTGCCTCTCACCTGTCAGAGGAGAGCATACTGGAAGCAGGAGATGGAGGAGAGGAGGGGATATGCTACAGCTTGGAAGATGAGTCATCTTCTATTGTCAGGCAACTGTCCTTCTGATGTTATTTCTCTTCTTTGTCTCTTTGCACCACTAACACCTTGTTCTGGCTCACTGGTTCTTTGTCTCACTAAAAACCTGTCCAGTGAGGTTCAAATCAAAATAAAAAGTTTATTTCTTTGCAAAGGTTACAATGTGTGTTTACATTTCATAATATGACAGGTATAAAGAAAGCCAATATCATGCTGAGGCATTTTGGGCAGACTTAACCTAATACTTAAAGACTGCTTAAGTCTAGACAAACTTTAAATATTCAATATTTGACTCAATTATTAATATGAGGTAGTACAATTTATAATACAAACATACATTTTTAGCTTTGTAATAATGGTTTAATAGCAGTGGCTGCTCATAGCGCCAGTAACTGTACTATCGAACCACATCAAACTTCTATTTTTCATCATTTCTTTTATCTTGTTTCAACCAAAAAATTAAAAATTCACTTATAAATACATGGAAAACAACATACAAGATATTTTTCCAGTAATATATTTGTCAGTTGCAAATTACTTTAGCTTGAGGTTGATGAAGTCATACGTCTGGCAGTGAGCATCTGGGGGGACTGCAGCTCTGCAGCTCCTATGGACGAGCTGCCACTGTTTAATCTTTTCAGGGTCGAGAGGCCCTCTCCTAAACTCGTTCTTAGGGTCGAAAATTTTTTGGGAAAAAAAAAAAAAAAATTTTCTTATGAAATGATAGATAATCTTTTCCTGATCATAATGACACCAAAAGTATGAAATTTGATGGAAAACTTACGGAATTATGCTCTCACGAAGTTAGTGGTCTCGACGATGTTTACGTATCGGCAATTTTGCCCACTATGAGCCCTATTTTTGGCCAATTCCTGTGTACTAGTCGACAAAAATAATATTTATTTCGCTAGAACTCCATTTTTTCTATCGAATGAGTACAAGAAACCACCCATTTACCAATTTCAGCTGTCCAATAAAGTGGTTAGAAATTGGCAATTTTGCCAATTTCACACAAATTTCAGAAGATGCCAATTTCCAAATAGGGTCCAGAATAAACAAGACAGACATTCCTGGCACTAAAATAACAAGTTCTCTGTTCGTTAGTCACATCCCCAGGCCCCTCTTATATTTCTTTTGCTTTCCACTTTGAGTTTTTATTCTCACAAAAAATAGAAGATTTACTGTTATGCAGACTACTGCATTAGTGTAGAAATGGTATAAATAATATCAGCACACTTGTGAAAGAATATTAGACTCACCATTTGATGTGTATTGGACGCTTGGCATGATTTGTTTACTTTTGAACTTTGGTAAAAATCGAACATTTCTGCTACTTTGAGCTCAATTTCAAGGTACTTTTCATTGTGAAACCAATCAAAATCATCGCAATTTCTGTAATATGTCTTCCATTCTATAAAATGAGATCAGGAAAACTAGAAAACAACCATAAATACCATACGAAAATGCAGTGCAAAGTTGCTGTTTTAATCCAAAAACACGGTCAAAGTTTTTTTTTTTTCTCAGTACACACTGTGTGATGCAGGATTTTTTTTATACTGCGCACACTGACCACATAGACCCATTCTTTCATATGTAGGCCTACCAGCTTTCTCTCGCTAGATTTGAAGGCGCTAGAATTTAGGCGTTCTAGTACGTCAATAACCCTGGTGCGTAAGCCGTACTAGTACGTTGGAAACCCTGAAAGGGTTAATAGATAAGGGATAATAAAATATTTGGGAGAGTTGCTCCAAATTTGGTTAGAGATTAGCATAGCATGGGTATGGTTATTATTGAGATGAGATGAATTTTAAGCATAGTCCTAAAGTGATTTGTAGGCAGGGGACCTTTTGCTGGTTTGGGCAAAGAGTTCCAGATCTTCAGGCCCTTTATGTGCATTGCATTTTTGCATAGTGTGAGATGGACACGAGGGATATCATAGTGTTTTGTGCCTTGTGTTATGCCCGGTTATGCCTAGGTTGGGGAACCGGGGTAAATTACCCCCAAATGGGGTGAAAATGAAAATCTTGTGGTTAACGAAGGTTCAGTAGACATATAATTCATTGTACATAAATTTGTTTTGGGGTAATGCCCAAAAAAGTTTGTCAACCTCTGTTCTAACAACATATGGATGTGTGCCCACTGAAGTCAGTTTATAGTGAGCTTGTATATAACAGCCTTTGGCTCAACATTTGGCTACTCACTTCCTGGGTAAAACAACTGCAAGGTTCTAACTGAGCCTAACATGATATATCCACCTGTATTATTCATGCATAAGCTAGCATTACATTTATTATATTTTTCAGAATGATGAACGTATGATAAACTTCCAGAAGAACCTCGAGGACTTCATACACACACACACAGGTGACATACCAACAATACAGTAAAATAAAGAAAAGGCAAAGAAGTGCTTTAATCAGAAAACAGAATAACTTATCTTACAACTACTCAGATATGACGAGTGTGAAATGTTGAAAAACTAGCGAGATAAATATTTTTATTATAACCCAAATTCTCATGTACAGGCAGGCCCTGCTTTACAGCGTTTCGCTAATACAGTGGTTTACAATTATACCCATTCTTCATTTATTCAGACTGCCTACGATAAATATATTTACCACTTACTATGAGCAAAGGACAAAAATATTGTAAGTAATGTGTACTGTATTTGCATCTTTTAGGCATAGCTATATTGCTCACTTAATATATGATAGTGTAAACATGTTATCAGGCTTTTATATGCATTTGAAAGTGAAAAAAAGCTGAGATTCACTTTACAGCAGTAGCTCGGAACCTAACCTGCTATATAAGCTGGGCCCTCCTGTAGTAATATTTAAATCTAGTAATAAAACAAATTCTTTACTTTAGTAAACTTCACTTCAATCTAAAATATTTTAGGTAAAGTTTTTCAACCTCCTCTAGCTGCATGACCCTTATGGATTTAGGACTTTCTATGATGATGATAATCAACTACCTCTAGCCTTTTTAACATTCTCATATATTCATAAAACTGAGAAATTCACTAGCACAAAATAGTGTGAAAATAACAGGATCAGGAATTTGTTTTGCAAGTTTGGTTAACATTATTCTACTGAAGCTTGCAGCTTAAATTACCAATATAATGAATAAAAGAGGCACTTACCAGAAGCAGGTTGCATCCAGTCACTAGTGAGGGAATTACAGTGCTCTTCCAGCCTTGTAGTCACCCACGAGGCAAGTAGTCTTTCAGTATTGTAGTCATCAGTGAGGGAAGTACAGAAATGTACCAGTGTTGCAGTCACTGACTTGTGTAACTGCCCACTGCAGCATTTATACAATTCCCCAGCATTCAGCAATATACTACCGATTATAAACTTGCACAAATGCTCAGTAGAAGCTGTCCCACATGTCATGAGTCTCTCACTATTATTGATTAATTCATGGGATACATTATCATCAACAGACATCCATCTTTGTAAGATCTCCCTCACCAGGAGGTTATCTCCCTAATGCTCATGTTGGTGGCCTCTCAAATACCTTTTTATTACATTCCAGTTATTTTTAAATTTGTGAGAATCACTAAACTCTGTGGTCATACAATGCCTGAGGAATGGGAGGCAATCAGCTTAATACAGTGGGAGGGTAGCTCAAACTCCTTGAATGAAGAGCCTATCACCAGCATCAAAGCAGCTCGTACTGAAGGGACTACACCATGAGTTGTCACTACAATATGCTTATGATAAGTGAGGCATGCCTCACTAATATGGCAGGTTAGGTTCCAGACCATCACCATAAAGCAAATCACAGCCTTTTTTTTTTTCCACTTTCCAGTGCATATAAAAGCTTAAAAACATGCTTATACTATCATTTATTAAGTGCACAGTAGCACTAGGCCTAAATGATACAAAAGTAAAAATAAATATAAAATTGAAAACTGCTGAAAAATCATCTTAAGAGCAAGGCGTGCATTGAAATAACAAACATGAATATAACTGAAAAGAGCTGTATTAGTGAAGCAAGCACCATATTAATGAAGTATGCCTGTACAAAGTTAAAATATGCTGCAATATTGTCATATGTTCTCTCTCCTTCACTGACTTCTTTGCTTGAACTACTACTACTTGTCAGCCACCAACTTGACAAGTATAAATGGAAGTTAGTAAATATCAGCACTTAACATGGAGGTGTATGAAAACTCATCATTATATTCATGAGGAAGAACTAAACCTATTAGAGTCATACAGTATCTAGCAAATGGGAGGTAATTAGGTTTGATCTGAGGAAGGAGGGAACACTTTCAATTCTTTGGAGGTTGAGTCATTCACCAGCATTAAGGTATCCCTTCAAAAGAAAAGATGGGATGTAACATGTTAATCCAGTGTCTCATCAGACTGGGTCAGCAGTGTACACACAGGTGACCTGAATAAAATTACAAAAGTAGTGCCATCTACTTTATTTATTTTTTCTTCAACTTCCCATAAATTTGTTCATATATCATTATGTTATAGAATATCTAGCTATTTGTACAAGTTAAAAACTTACGAAATTACTCTACCGCAAAGTTAGCGATCCCGACACTATTTATGCACCAGCGATTTTGCCTATTTTGAGTCTGTTTTTTTTTTAGGCCAATTCAATTGTTCCAGTCAAAAAGACTTAGCTATTTCACTAGTGTACCTACCATTCTATCGATAGAGCACACGACACGACCCAGCCATCTATTTCAATTACCCAATAGTGATTAGTTTTGAGTAATTTGGCCAATTTCACACAAAATAAAATTAACAATTTTAGAAGTCCATAATAAATATAGACATTCTTGGAACTAAAATATTTCCTCTGTTCATTACTTATGTTCCCAGGCCTCTCCTATATTACACTTGCTTTCCATTTTGAATTTTAATTCACACTGTTATGCAGGCTACTTCATTGTAATAATTGTATAAATAATGTCAGTATTCATGAACATGCATTAAACAGCCAGTTGGACATGTGTTAGATGACCAACTGGGAGTGGCGTGATTAGTGTCTGCTGGAATATTAACAAAAATAGAATATTTCTGCTACTTTGAGCTAAATTTCAAGCTACTTCCAGTCCTGAAACCAATCAAAATCATCTCTATTTCTGTAATATATCTTCCATTCTATTAAATGATACCAAGAAACTGAGAATAAACCCATCCAGAGATACAATGCAAGGTCACTTATTTTGAACTATACACACAGTCAGTTTTGTTTTTACTATCATGCACTGCATAGGGCAGGATTTTTTTTTTTGTATGGTGCACACTCATTGCATAGACTCATTCTCTCAAATCTTGACCAAAATTTACCACTCACAGCTGATCCAGGTGAGCCGAGCTCATGCCGTAGTACTACTGCACAGATCCTGAGATCAAAGCCGTAGTACTATGGCACGGACCACAAAAGGGTTAATAAAGGTTTTGACATTTTAATCAGTAAACTGTCAGTCACATAGATCTATGTTGGTGGGGTCAGAGTTAATATTGTAGCTCTCTTTTAATTCACAATGCCTTCAAATTTTCTGCGAGTGACAAAATTTGGTGTAGACGCGAGAGAATAGGTCTGCACAGAATAAAAAAATCCTGCCCATGTAACACTTGAGTTGGTTAGAGCACTGGAAATTGCCTCAAACTGGCCTCAAAGTGGGTGAAATCTGTTGCACAAAATGTTATATCTCTAACTTCGTGACTGTGGAATTCTGCAAGTATTCCATCAAATTTTGCATTTTTGTGTTATCTTTAGAAAGAGGTTTACCATTATAACTTTTTTTTTCAGATAAATAATATAATCAACTTGTAAGGATCATTTTTATTTTCATAATTTCTGACACAAAAGGGGTTCTCAGTTTGGGTGTTGTCAACAGTGGGATGGTTAATGAACTGCTATTGTATTTTTAGGACAAAATTACTAGAAATATTAATTTAGATTTAGCAATTTATATGCATTCAGTTTTGAGTATGTATTGTATGAGGGATTAGTTTTAATGACCTATTTGTATAATTCTGTTCAGCAATGAACTGGCAAAGTAAAACAACACAAGTGAGCACATTTATCTATCATAAACTAATAGGGATTAAACAGCACTTTAAGACTGGGAGGTAATTAGGTTCAATCCAAGGAAGGAGAACAGATTCATTTCCTTAGATTAAGATCTCCTCCAGTAGAAATAGAACACACTACCAGAGCAAAATATTATGTACATGCTCACTTTCCCAGTGATTGAATATTTGTAACCAAGAAAAACTGTCTTAATATTTTACAATTATAATAGTTTTGTAAAAAAAAAAAAAAAAAAAAAAAAAAAAAAAAAAAAATCTTTCTACCCACTGTATAAATTTTCTTTGTGCAATGCAATGGAAAATATATGTAAAAGTATTTGCAATGAATTAATGAAACATTGATGTCATGTACATTGTTATAATTTTTATTTATAATTTGCATTGTTTCACAGACATTTATGTTCTACAGTATTTACACCTCTCATTGTTCTTTCAAAAGTTAACCATAAATAAGAATAAAATTACAAGGCTACAAAATCTTTAATATAAACAATGTACTATGCTGTATATGAAAATGAAGCTTAAGTTCAATATCTACAGAACTCTTCAATAAAACCTAAAAATTTTCAGTCTTCCACTAAACGTCATTTTCATAATCAGCAGGATTTTTCCGCATCAGCTGTTCATGTTTGGCTTCAACAGAAGTGTAGACCATGTATGCAACAATGAAAGCTGCAATTGAGAAAACAAAAGGCCAAATTAGCATCTTTACAAACACACTGTTGTGGTAAACTACAAAGATGAGTCTAAATAATACTTAAAAATAAATTGAAAAAAAATTATGAACTTGTGGAAAATCCTCAAGATGGCATTATTTTGCATAAATGAAAAAATCCAGAGCATTTAATCTCTGAAGAAACACCCCTCAAGGAAGGTTCCTTGATGTTGGCGAGGGGCTCTTGATTTAGGGAATTGGATCTGTGCTCCAGTTCCCCGAATTAAGCCTGAATGCCTTCCACACCCCCCCCATGCGCTGTATAATCCTCCGGGTTTAGCGCTTCCCCCTTGATTATAATAATAATAATAATAATCTGAAGAAACAGTATTTTAGATCTTGTAACTCTTACACACCACCACACAGCTATTAACCCAGTCTACTGGTAGTTGTATGCCTTATGCAAGACCACAACTTTACTGAAAAGAGTATACGTATAGTTCATTTGCATCCTAAATGGCACCACTATACTTTCACTGTCAATCCTGGTAACCCCATGTACAGTTTAATCAATACTCATTGTCCTGATATGGTTCCCATTCATAATACAATTTTGGATGGCCAAACTCCAGAAAATTATCACAGTATTATTCATAGAGGAAGTTTAAACCAGTAGAGACCATACAACACCTAGGCAATTGGAGGTAATCAGGTTTGATCTAAGAAAGGGAAACTTAGAAGATTCTAATTATTAACCTGGAGGACTAATAACCCAAAATAAACCAAGAAAGCCAGTGTTTCTTATGCCTACCTGAGTCCCTTTTATCATTTTACTGCAGGATGCAACCCACAACAGTTGGCTAATACCTCAAATGAATAAGGGCAACAGGTGACAGGAAAAAATGCACAAGATTTCTACACATCCCAGGTTTGAACCAGATTCCTTCATCTGTTAGCCAATGGTGCTATTAGCCCCAATTCCTTGGATCAAGAACCTTTAACCAGTATCAAAGAAGAAGGACTCAGGAGAATTATGCTAAAATTGTGGGTTATTTTCGTGTATAGGATGAGACTGTTATGATCTCAGAGATACTGCTGAAATGTGCTCTAGTAATATTATACATACATAGTCTATTGTTGTCATTTCTGATCACTAGAAAATCATATTCTTCAGGCTATGCATAAATCCTTGGACATCCATACTTGTAGCGAATGCACAATGTAAAGACCTCACTGAAAGTGTGCATACATTGTAGACTCCCTTCTTCTGCAACAACCGATTATAATTACTGACCTCCACCACCATCTTATATTAGGAAAATCTGATGCATTTCTTGCATTTTTTGACCTGAATAACTTTGTGGACTTCCAAGTCACATCTCTAGTTCTCCCCTTAACCAAAACATGCAAATCACTTGATATACAAGCTCATTTTATCACAAGATTGTCTATCACTCTAAACACACCAATAGTTGAAAATTTTATGTGAAAATCTGAATAGAAGAATGAAAACTGTCCAGCAATTTCCTCAGAGCTTGCTACCACAGAATGGAATGCTGCTCTCTAAGCTGATGTTAACAACCAATTAAACACCTTCACTAAGCCCACTCTGAATTTCCTAAACAAGTACGTTCTTCATTGGCTGTATGCATCTCAATGTTCAGATCAGCCTTAGTTTTTCACTGCAGTGAGGCAGCTAATGCTAAGTGCAAGACTTACTGGAACTGCAAAAGGGTAGATAGTGTTGAAATTTGAAGAGAACTTGCAAAATTAACAGTAAAAATTACTAGCATGAATAAAACAAATAGTACTAACACACCAATTAAAAGATCCATTAAACTCTTAATATTAGAAGACACTCCTAAAATTTCTCCAAGATCTTTGTCCCCCTGGTAATTAAATTCTCTCATATCATAGGATTAAAAATTGTGCTTTAACCCTTTGAGGGTCGACAGGCCCTCTCCGAAACTCGTTCTCAGGGTCGGCCAAATTTAAAAAAAAAAAAAAATTATTTTCTCTTATGAAAAGATAGAGAATCTTTTCCCGATCATAAAAACACCAAAAGTTTGAAATTTGATAGAAAACTTACGGAATTATGCTCTCGCAAAGTTAGCGGTCTCGGCGATGTTTACGCATCGGCGAATTTTGCCCACTTTGAGCCCCATTTTCGGCCAATTTCACTGTACTAGTCGACAAAAAACATGAATATTTCGCTAGAACTCCATTTTTTCTATCGAATGGGTGCAAGAAACCACTCATTTATGAAATTCAACTATCCAGTACAGTGGTCAGAATTTAGCAATTTTGCCAATTTCACACAAATTTCAAAAGATGCCAATTTCCGAATAGGGTCCAGAATAAACAAGAAAGACATTCCTAGCACTAAAATGACATTTCCTCTAGTCATTAGTAACGTCTCAAGGCCCCTCTTATATTCTTTTGCTTTCCACTTTGAATTTTTATTTTCACAAAAAATATAAGATTTACTGTTATGCAGACTACTGCATTAGTGTAAAAAATGGTATAAATATTATTGGTGCACTTGTGAAAGAATATTAGACTCGCCAGTTGACGTGTATTGCACGCTTGGCACGATTTGTGTACTTTTGAAGTTTGGTAAAAATCGAACATTTCTGCTACTTTGAGCTCAATTTCAAGGCACTTTTCTTTGTAAAACCAGTCAAAATCATCTCAATTTCTGTAATATGTCTTCCATTCTATAAAATGAGACCAAGAAAACTAGAATACAACAAAAAATACCATACGAAAATACACTGCAAAGTCGCTGATTTATTCAAAAAAAATGGTCAAAGTTTTTTTTTCTCATTATGCACTGTGTGCTGCAGGATTTTTTTTAGACTGTGCACACTGACCACATAGACCCATTCTTTCATATGAAGGCCTACCAGCTTTCTCCCACTAGATTTGAGGCCGCTAGAATTTATGAGTACTAGTACGTCAAAAACCCCTACGCGTAAGACGTACTAGTACGACGAAAACCCTCAAAGGGTTAAATAATGAGATATTCATATTTCTTTTAAACATGCCTCGGTGGGAGATGGCCGACTTGTTGGAAAAAAAAATGCCTTCATATTTTTACTGAATTCTCACACCATAAATTTGGGGAAAAGTTTGAAATTGGGTTAGTTCCACATGGAAAACTTCCCTATGCCATGAGCTCCTCCCTTATCTTAGGAGGCCTAGCTTAAGTCAAGTCCACTCCACTTCTGTTTACACCTATCCACACAGCTTGTAGACATATCCCATACCATTCTCTCTCATGTTTATCACTCCATAATTTGGATTTTAACATCATCCCAACTCATCTCTGCAAAACAGCTTCTCCTCACTAAGCAATGTACTCAAATCAAATCAAAGTTTATTCTCTAGAAGGATTACAATGCGGGGTTTACAGATTTTGGTTATTGTATGGTTTACAAGTAATAAAATACTAATTACAGAGGGGCCACTAGAACACCTAGCAAGGCTAGGCATTTCGGGCAAACTTAGATTAATTCTTAACCCTAAATTATTACAAATTGTGGAATAAGTTGACTAAATACTAAGTGACTAAATACTAGTTTGTGAGTCTAGCAATGTGAATGCTTTTGTTTTGGCACAATACATAGTTTCTATATTGGAGTATCACAGGCAAACTTGAGACTAGTTAGGAATCATTATTTTAAGAGTAAGATACGTATTTCTGTGCTTATAGTCAAATGGGTGAGTGAGTGAGTGAGTAAGTGTGAACTACCAGGTGGTTTTTATGTAGTTAGTTGATGGGGTGCATCAGGGAGATAAGATGTTTTCTAACGGTAGTTTTGAAGGTGATGAATGTGTCTGCAGTTCTAGAGTTTTCAGGTAGGGTGTTCCAGATTTTAGGGCCTTTGACATACATTGAATTTTTGTATAGATTTAGTCGGACACGGGGAATGTCGTAGAGATGTTTGTGTCTGGTGTTATGCTTGTGGGTCCTGTCACAACTATCAAGAAAGCATTTTAGGTCAAGGTTAACATTGGAATTTAAGGTCCTGTATATGTAGATTGCACAGTAGTAAGTGTGGATGTTCTGAACAGAGAGTAAGTTTAGATCTATGAAGAGTGGGGGGGGGGGTGTTGCCAGGGATAGGATTTAGTGATTATTCTTACTGCAGCTTTTTGTTGAGTTATTATTGGCTTTAACCCTTTGACTGTCGCAACCCCCAATCCTGAGGGGTCTCCTGGTGTTGCAAAATTTAAAAAAAAAAAAATGATTTTTTCTTACGAAATGATAGAGAATCTTTTCCTGATTGTAATGACACCAAAAAAACGAAATTTGATGGAAAACTGACGGAATTATGCTCTCGCGAAGTTAGTGACCTCGGCGCTGTTTACAAATCGGCGATTTCGCCCACTTTGAGCCCTATTTTCGGCTAATTCCATTGTTCCAGTCGCCCAAACTCATAGCTATTTCTTTAGAACTCCATTTTTTCTATCGATTGAGTACAAGAAACTGCCCATTTACCGATTTCAACTACCTAATAATGTGGTCAGAAATTTGAAATTTGGCCAGTTTCACGAAAACTAAAAAATATGACAATTTCAAAATAAGGTCCAGGATGAACAATGCAGACATTCCTGGCTCTAAAATAACATTTTCTTTGCTCATCGTCATGTCTCCAGGCCCCTCTGATATTACTCTTGCTTTCTATTTAGAATTTTTATTCAAAAAAAAATAGAAGACTTACTATTATGCAGACTACTGCAATACTGTAATAATTGTATAAATAACATCAACCCATTCATGACTGCATATTAGAATGGCTAGTTGGACATTTATTGGACAATGGCATCATTTGTTTACTTTTGAACATTGGCAAAAATCAAACATTTCCCCTACTTTGAGCTCCATTTCTAGGTTCTTTTTATAGTAAAATCAGTCAAAATCACCTCTATTTCTATAATATGTTTTCCATTCTATCAAATGAGACCAAGAAAACGAGAATACAACCATAAATACTATACGAAAATAGACCAC